AACTAACACCATTTCCCCTAAGAACAGGAACAAGACAGGGATGCCCACTCTCACCACTCCTGTTCAACATAGTACTGGAAGTATTAGCCATTGCAATTAGACAAGAAGAAGAAATAAAAGGCATCCAAATTGGAAAAGAGGAAGTAAAACTGTCCTTATTTGCAGACGACATGATATTATACATACAAAACCCTAAAGACTCCATCAAAAAACTACTAGACTTAATACATGAATTTGGCAATGTAGCAGGATACAAAATTAACCCCAAGAAAGCTAAGGCATTTCTATACACCAATAGTGAACTTTCAGAAAGAGAGACTAAAAAAACAATCCCATTTACCATCGCACCAAAAATATTAAACTACCTAGGAATAAACTTAACTAAAGAGGTAAAAGACCTCTACTCAGAAAACTACAGGACGCTGAAAAAAGAGATAGAGGAAGACATAAACAGATGGAAGAACATACCGAGTTCATGGATTGGTAGAATCAACATCATTGAAATGTCCATACTACCCAAAGCAATCTATAAATTCAACGCACTTCCCATTAAAATACCAACGGCATATTTCACAGATCTAGAACAAACTCTCCAAAAATTCATCTGGAATAAAAAAAGACCCCGAATAGCTGCAGCAATCCTGAGAAAGAACAAAGCAGGTGGGATCTCAATACCAGATATCAAACTGTATTACAAAGCTACTGTTCTCAAAACTGCCTGGTACTGGCACAAGAACAGACATATAGATCAATGGAATAGAATAGAGAGCCCAGAAATCAGCCCGAACCGATATGCTCAATTAATATTTGACAAAGGAGGAAAGAACATACAGTGGAGTCAAGATAGTCTCTTCAATAAATGGTGTTGGGAAAATTGGACAGATACATGCAAGAAAATGAAATTAGACCACCAACTTACACCATACACAAAAATAAACTCAAAATGGATAAAGTACTTAAATGTACGACGGGAAACCATAAAAATTCTAGAAGAATCCGAAGGCAACAAAATCTCAGACATATGCTGAAGCAATTTCTTCACTGATACAGCTCCTAGGGCACTTGAAACTAAAGAGAAAATGAACAAATGGGACTACATCAAAATAAAAAGCTTCTGCACAGCAAAAGAAACCATCAACAAAACAACAAGAAAGCCCACTGCGTGGGAAAACATATTTGCCAATGTCATATCTGATAAGGGCCTAATCTCCAAAATTTATAGGGAACTCATACAACTTAACAAAAGGAAGATAAACAATACAATCAAAAAATGGGCAAATGATCTAAATAGACACCTTTCAAAAGAGGACATTCAGAAAGCCAAGAGACATATGAAAACATGCTCAAAGTCACTAATCATCCGAGAGATGCAAATCAAAACAACAATGAGGTACCATCTCACACCTGTCAGAATGGCTATCATCAACAAATCAACAAATGACAAGTGCTGGAGAGGATGTGGAGAAAAAGGAATACTCGTGCACTGCTGGTGGGAATGCAGACTGGTGCAGCCACTATGGAAGACAGTATGGAGTTTCCTCAAAAAACTAAAAATGGAACTTCCATTTGACCCTGTGATCCCACTTCTAGGAATATATCCCAAGAAACCAGAAACACCAATCAGAAAGGATATATGCACCCATATGTTCATAGCAGCACAATTCACCATAGCTAAGATCTGGAAACAGCCTAAGTGCCCATCAGTAGATGAATGGATTAGAAAACTGTGGTACATCTACACGATGGAATACTACGCTGCTGTAAAAAGAAGGAACTCTTACCATTTGCAACGGCATGGATGGAACTGGAGAGCATTATGCTAAGTGAAATAAGCCAGTCAATGAAGGAAAAATACCACATGATCTCACTCATTCATGGATAATAAAGACCATTATAAACTTATGAACAAAAATAGATACAGAGGCAGAGCTGCCTCAAACAGATTGTCAAACTGCAGCGGGAAGGCCGGGGAGAGAAGGGGAGCAGAAGCGGGGGGTAAGAGATCAACCAAAGGACTTATATGCATGCATATAAGCATAACCAATGGACATAAGACACTGGGGGGTAGGGGAGGCCAGGAGATTGTCAAGGGCAGGGGAAAAAAGGCAACATATGTAATACCCTTTGTAATACTTTAAGCAATAAAACAATTTTTAAAAAAAGAAAAAAAAGAAATGGACATTGGACTAAAAAACCCTAAAGTCAATATCAGCTACTCTTATTAGGTGAGTGACCTTTAGCAAATTATCAAACTTATTTTCATCTCAGTTTACTCTTCGATAAAATGGGAATGATAACATATAACTTCAAGGATTATTCTTATGATAAAATTACATACAGTACTGCATTTAAAATCTCTATAATCCAGGTGTCTGTCAGGGAGGTTAATTTATTATCCCCTTATATTTATCAAAATTTCATCTGAGAAATATGTTTTTTATGTTTATAAAGGATATTCAGTCTATCTGTTTTGTCTGTCCATTCTGCTAAAAACTCTAAAATGTGCTCCTGCATTAAGCTAGGTTATCAGAAAGTTCTGTGCCTGCATTCATCACAGTGGCCTTGCCCAGGGATATTTGCTTCCTGAATTACATTTGGTGCAATGGCATCAGCTCACATCAAGAACCACTCTGAGAGAGGGCCCTGCAAAGACCTCACAGCAACTTTGCTCTAAGGATGCTTTTGAGAATTCCACTTGGAATTCTATAAGGTGTCCTCGGTAAGGGGGCCCAGAGGAGAAATCTTACTTAGTGGCAGGAAGAGCTCTGCTTTTGCTGAGTAATTGCTCTGTTTTGCTGTGATGGCCATTCTAAGACATGGAGCAATCATGCTTTGCCTTCAGTGATGGTTACTCGAGAGCTTAGAGTTCCGTGTGCGCTCCATTTCCGGTGAACATGGACATGAACTGTGTCTCGCTAATATTCCTCGCCCTGACTGTTCTCATTGCCTCAGTTAATCTTTACTACCTTAAATGTATTGCATCTTGTATTTTTTAACTTCCTTACAACTTTTATAAGTAAGCCGATGAAGATAAATAACTGGGTATATAAATATATTCAGATGCTTGGTTTCCATTGGCTTCCATCACATGCTGCCCCATCACCTTCTGAGTTTGGAAGAAGTGTATGTGGCTCAATGGCAGGCAGGGATAACCAACAAGTGCCCATTTTGACACCACGCCCTCTCCAGCACTGGAGACTTCCTAGAGTATGAAATCTCAGGGAACCTTGATTACTCACAGGCCACTCAAAGACACATATGATGGTGAAATCAAAAACAAACGTGAGTACTCCCATGGCCAATGCTCCGGGAACCTCTAGTAACAATCATTGTGTGTTTTAGTTACATTACATTCCTCCTTAGCAATCCTCTACCTATTAAAGCATTTTGGGTCCATAAGTAAACCAGCGACTTTCTTGTTTCTTCTTCCAAAATATGACATCCACTTCATAAGCCTCTGCTCAGCTAGAGGCTGTCACACACCACAGGCTACTTGCCTCCAGTGCAGATACACATATTGTTCAGCAGCGATTTCCCCTCTCATCAACAAAGGCTGCTATTTTCTTCTTTACATCAAATACATGTGGTTTCTCACTGTATGAAAATACTAGAGTTATTTTGGGTCCTGCAGACTTTCTCTAAGAAAGACAAACATTTATTTTTTTTGTCCATGTGAGTCTTTCATTTACAAGTAGCAGTGATTTTTTTTCAATATTTAAATGACATTATGATAACATGCTTAATAGCTGTGTGCCGAGCCAGTACATACTTGGGTTTGTGGTCCTGGAAAAATCTGATTTGTGTCACATTACATTTCATCAAACTCATACAAAATTTTTAGGGCTTTGAGTTTCTTTAAATACTGCTGAAATTCAGAAATAATCCCGAGAGACCAGGGTAAGGCTGACTAGCAGCCACAGACTTTCTCAACTTGCAGTAAAATTCAGGAAGGGCAACACTATTGTTTTTCTATAACCTCCTCACCCCCAGATAAACAATCTGGCAGTTTAGAAGCAACAAAATGTCCAGGGCCCTAAGTTCATGCCAGGGTTATTCTGGAATTGGAGCACTCCCCACGGCAGAAATGCCTGATTCAGACTCAATCAAATACTGGGCCCTGGTAGTCTAATGAGACAGACGCCTTCCATCACTCTGAGGGAGGTCATGCCAGTCTCGCTGTCAGAAAGCACACTGACAGATGTGCAAGAGCTCAAAAGAAAACAAAATGCAGTTCAACATGTGAATTTCTGATTTCTGCTACCAAAGAGTCTAGGAGCCAATGGCATGTTCACAAATACTTAAAATCCAGTTCTCTGGAAGTATTTTTTAAAAAGCAGGCTCTGATTTGCATCATTTGCATATTTCTATGATATAAACACTACATAATTCTACCAAGACTCATCTCAGGCCACCTGTCAGATATCACAGAATGTGGAGTTGGGAAGAGAGGTACACAATCAGCTCTCACCAGCCAGAGCCAGCTCGTCACCACTGCAGGAATCCCCCACTCAGCTGGCAGGGTTATTCATAGGAGAACAGAAAACTTTTGCTCACCCATTCTACTTAGAAGAACCCCTCTTTTTAGCTTTCGTCACATCCAGAGTATGTGCTGTAAATCTCCACCTGCTTCTTCTTGCCTCTGCTAATCAATCTCATTCTTACCCTCTACCAAGGTGCTTCTGCTGGTCCCATGTAATTTGGAGATAATCTCTTGCCTGGGGAGGCTCTCCCCTATGTTTGTGATACTTACACACTTCTTTATTCTGGACACATTTTCTGAATTCCATAGAAACTAATTCTGAGGCCCCTTGAGAAAGGGTTTTGGGGGAGGATGGTTCTTTCTTTTCACTCTGAATGGTGGGTCGAGGCACAGAATCCTGCGAGGGGGGAGCCGTTGGCGTGGCGGTCGGCGGTCGGTGGTCGGTGGTCGCCTGTGCCGCCGGCCTGCGGACGGGAAGGCCGGGAGGGTGAGCCCGGCCCGGGTGGGCCCTCAGTTCCATTGGCCGTAGATGTTCGTGGGCAAGGAATCCGGGGCGTGTGGAAGCGAGGTTCGAGCATGAACATGGCGGAAGGGGACACCCTGATATCGGTGGATTATGAGGTGTTTGGGAAGGTGCAAGGGGTGTTTTCCGCAAGTACACGCAGGCTGAGAGTAAAAGGCTGGGATTGGTAGGCTGGGTCCAGAACACAGACCAGGGCACAGTGCAAGGACAATTGCAAGGTCCCATCTCCAAAGTGCGTCATATGCAGGAATGGCTTGAGACAAAAGGAAGTCCCAAATCACACATCGACAGAGCAAACTTCAACAATGAGAAAGTCATCTTAAAGTTGGATTACTCAGATTTCCAAATTGTAAAATAATGCCCTGAATTCAAATTTTCCAAGAGAAACTCAGAGGTTTTGCTTTTCTTGTTAATAGAGATAGAATTATTCTGAGTAATATTAGAATTTGTCAGTTAGTTATTTTAGTTTCAGATACCTGAATGTTACTGTATATAATATGTATGATGGAAGGAATGATTACAACTGTACACAACTGTTGTCTTTACGTACATGTATTGCTCCTTTCTGTGTTCATATCTTGTTCCCCACTTCTCACTTTTGTCACCAGCTCATCTTTGTGCCGTTTAGAGTATAGAAGGTGCAGGCTATTGGGTCTGCAGGTAAGAAGTTGCCATGCTGCTAGGAAGTCGTGCTTTCTGTTTCCAGCTGTTTACCTACTTCCTGGGAAAAGTAGTAGCTCTCTGTAGCATCATGGAGTTTGGAACCAAATTTTTGCCATTAAAAACTGGCATTATATTGAACCATTCATTGAGAAATCAATCAAAATAAAAAATTTTTACTTTAAAAAAAATAGATTTTTTAAAAATTATGCAGGGCAGGCCCTAGCTGGTTTGGCTCAGTGGATTTTTTTTTTTTTCATTAACAAATCCTGTTCCTTTTTTATTAGAGATAAAAACAGTAAAGTCCCACACACCATTAGAGATAAAAACAGTAAAGTCCCACACACCATGCCCTGTCCTGGGGGGCAGGATGAGCTGTGGCCGCAGCTCGCCCTTGGGGGGGCTGCTTGGCCTCGGGGGGGCTGCGCGGTGCAAAGTGCAGTCTCCGCAGGGAGCGCTCAGTGGCAGAGGGCCATGGTCTCCATGTTAAGGAAGAGGACGTGCATCTTGGTCTCGATGTCGATCCCCTGCCAGATCTTCAGGAAGTCGTCGAAAGTGATGCCCTCATACACCTGGTCAGGCTCCATCTGCCCCATGCAGACGCTGGCCGCCTCCATCATGGCCTCGTCGGTGATGGAGCGGGCCGAGTCCTTCTCGATGTGTGGGTTCCCTGAGAGCAGCTCCTCCACCACATTTCGATATTCCTCCAGGGTGATGCGGCCGTCACTGTCCGAGTCATACATGTGTAACAGAAATCGCAGCTTCTCTTTCCGGCACAGCTGCACCTGCTCCTCGTCCATGGTGACGTCGATGGGCTGGAAGTAGGCCATGATGGTTAGGAAGTCCTCAAAGTTGATCTCGTCGGCCAGGCCGCTGGGCCCCTTGAGCAGGTTCTTTGCCCTCCATGGCCATCCGAGCTTGGGTTCTGTTTCCCAACAACCTGCTCTGGGGCCCAGGGCCTGGGAGGCTCAGCACAGACCCATGAGGTCCTCTGAGACCTGGCGCCTGGGCCTGGGACGCAGGGCTGCCTGGTTGTGCTGTGGGCACAGAGGTGGGACTTGCACTGGGGAAACCGAGGCTCCGAGGAGTGCAGCAGCTCACTGGGTCCATCTGACACTTTCCTTGGCACCAGGGGTTGCACTGCAGCCTGGGGCCGCCGTGTTTGCGCAGCTCAGGGACCCAGAGGGTCTTCATGTTTTGAAATGGTGGAAAGAATGTTTGGGGGGGGAAACCCAAAAGGATGGCATTTCATGACAAGTGAAAATTACATGAAATTCAAATTTCAGTGACCGCAAATACAGTGCTATTGGCTCACAGCCACGCCCATTTCTCCACTGTTGCTGTGGCTGCATTCAGGCTACCGAGGTTGGGGAGCAGCTGGGACAGAGACCCCGGGCCGGCCGCCGGGCCTGAAGTGTCTGTTCTCTGCAGTGTCCCAGCAGCCCAGGCAGCGCTAGGAACCTGTCACTACCAGGGCAGGTCACGTGGCTCCAGGTGCTTTAGTGAATCAGGGCAGTTTGCCGTCCCTGTCCGTGTGCCCTCCTGAGGGGCAAGAAAGGGCATTGCCCGGGCGGGGCCAGGAAGCACACAGCAGGCGTGGTCACGGCCACCAGGCGGGTCCCAGTGACAACAGCTCTGGAGAGGCCTCCGCCACGGCCAGCCCTCACACGGACCCCAGCGGCCAGTCCGGCGGCCCCGGAGGGAGGTGCCATCAGAATGGCAGGCGGGGGTCCCGCCCTTACTGTGCGTCCCAGCAAAGGGCCACTGGTCTTGGTCAACTAGCCATCGAGGACAGTGCTTCGAATTCACTGGGCCTTTGCACGAGCAGTTATCCTGCAGCATCTTCTCTCCCTCGTTGCCTGATGAACTCCTGGTCGCTCTCTCCTCAGGTCTTCCCCATGAGCCCTGGAGGGAGGACGCCCTACTCCCCCACTGTGAGCAGGCGAGGCTCCAAGGGGCTCAGCATCTTGCTAGGGCTTCGCAGCCCCTGTCCAACCAGAGCTGAGCCGTTCAGGCTCACGCTACTTGGAATGGGTCAGGAAAGTCCTGATGGCCCGATCCCTTCCTTCCTCTTTCTGCCGGTTCTTCCTGTGTCAGCGATCTCTGCAGACAGAGGGGTCAGGCCTGGAGCTCACACCCCAGGAACCTCCATCCAGGCATGTGAGTCTTTCAACGCCAACAACACGGCATTCGGTGGAGGAGCTCTGGCTGGAGCCTCAGCTCTGGGACTCAGGCAGCCAAGTGCACCATCTTCCTGAACCTCAGTTTTGCCGTCTGTAGTCCAGGGCAATGAGCAGGATAGCCCTTAGCGCTTTAGCACATCATCTCTGCACCCTCTCAGCGACCCCGCAAGGCAGAAGCTGTTATTACCTCCATTTAATAGATGAGAAAACTGAGGCAGCCTCCCAGGTGGCCCCCAAGGATCCCACGCCCCTGTTCAGTCCCTTTTCCAAGTGTGCGGTGACCTGTGCCTTGAGAGGTTGGGTAACCAAAACTGGTGGCTTCTATCGGGGGTGCCCAGTCAGTCCCCCGCCTTGTCATGGGGACATCTCAGCCGGGGGAGCCAGCAGCTGCCACGTGCGAGTAGCGCTGTGGAGAGGTTCTGAGAGGCCGACTGGATGTTTGTGCTTAGTCCAGAAGTGGCCTGGAAGACGCGGAGAAAAAAGTTCTCCCCACCAAAGTCCTCGCTCGCAGGCTCACTCAGCTCGAAGGCCCTCACTCAGCTCGCAGGCTCACTCAGCTCGCAGGCCCTCACTCAGCGCGCAGGCCCTCACTCAGCGCGCAGGCCCTCACTCAGCGCGCAGGCCCTCACTCAGTTCGCAGGCTCACTAGCGTGGTATCAATTAAATACTTGTGGGTGATTGATTACTCGCTGGGTGTGATTAAGTAATTAAGCTGAGGAGTCTCTGGGAGCTGCCAGGTGCCCACCCTTGAGGTTTTCTCAGAACCAGCTGGGGCAGAGCCGCTGCTCCTCCCCAGGGATGAAGCTGGCAACCTGGGCTCCTCGCAGGCCCCCAAGGCCAGGCCACCCCGACCCCCCTGCCGCCAGGCTGCTTTGGCTTCCATGACCCGGGTACAGCACCCGCCCTGCCTGGCCTGATCTCAATCCCTGTTGGCTGTGACGCCATTGCCCCATTTTGCTTCCATTAAAAATGTCTGTGTAGTTCCAAAAAAAAAAAAAAGAAACATAAAGGGGAGGGAATAAAAGGGAAGTTATTAAAAAAAAAAAAAAAGTTGGGAAACTATTGAGTCCCATTCCCCAGGTGTTATCAACCCTTCCTTCTCTCAACTGTTATCACCCGCCCTGTGCCTTCCTTCATGGGCGGTAGTTTGGGGGAGGGGCAAGGGTCATGTCTTCCCTGAGCCACCACCATTTTTTTATTCTACAAGTTCTTTTTACTATAGTTCATTTTTTTTTTACCTCAATCAATTACTTCTAATATTTTGTTTTCCTAATAGCCACTCATTGGTTATGTGTTATGTGGCTTCTATTAATGTGTAAAGACATTTTACAGGAAGTTTTATCAAACACATTTAAGAGGACAATATATCAATATACATACAATATAAATACATTTGTAAGGATGTATGTTGTATGTATACTGTATTTGTATTCTGTATTGTATTTGCACATATTGTATATGCAAATTTTGTATTGTATGCATTCTTTGTATATGATATGCACGTATATATATTGTGTATATGTTATTTACACCCCCCTGAAACCACACCAGCACTAAAAACTCAAGTTTGAAAATGGATTATAGATCCCACTCTCAGAATTTTTTTGAGTATGTGAGGGGGAAAAAAGTCTTTTAATTGATGGTTTGGTTTAATCAGGACCTGTCTCAGAATTTGACTTAACAAAGGCCACAGGATTCTTGCAAATTCCTGGAATTCTCTTGCCTTCTAAGCTTAATTTTGTATGTGTGGTTTGAGGGGCTTGCCAGAGGCCCCAAAACCCAGTAGAAATGCATTGACTGGTTGATCCACCAACATCAGAATTCTTGTTCATTGTCCTTTCCTTTCATTTCTCATCAAACCAATTCTTGGCCTGAAGATCAGATCTTCTAGTGCTTAGGGTTCTCCATAATATGGTTGAATTTCACAAATTCAGAAACATTCCCATTAAGTACATGTCCCTAATTGACTCTACAGCTCATTGTTTTCTTTCCCTGCCAGCATCTCTATATTCCCTAAAATACCCCGGACTTCACAGTGCCTGGAAGTTTACAATACAACCTGATCCCATTGATTTCTTGAAGCTATCAACCAAGGATCTATATGAGCAGAAAGATGGTTTAGATCCTCCGTACAAATCTTCCATATGGAGTTTCTATCTCTAGGAGCTATCCAACTTTCTAATGTCCCCTAGGTTATAAACAAGTAACCAAATAATACACCACCCACATTGGAGCACTGTTAAAATAAGGCACTGAAAATAAATAACTGACCTACAACAGGTATAAATTGAAACTGTCCTAAAAGACATTTGGTCTTCCTAATTATAATTTCCTTGCCAAGGGCTACCTTCAGTTGTGATCTCATCCAGAAAATTCCTGTTGCAATTTGCTTAATGAGTTCACATGGTAAAACAGAATTCTCTGGTTAGGACATCTATTCTTGAACTTTCTGCTACCTCAGGGACTCTAATACCACCATCCTTCTGCCTCCACACAGCTTTTCTTTCGTTGATTGTTCATGCAATGGCAGAATATGTTTGGAGTCCAGGCATGCCATCTGCCCCTTTTTTTTCTATGCCTCTGCTCTCTCAATTCCATCCTGGAACTATGTTGCAAAAGCACAGATATATTGGTAACTACAGTCTGGGTGCCACTATAGAAGAGCCAAGAACTGTAGTTATTTCTA